TGTTAATAAACATCGTCGAACACAGCGCTGTGACAGTAGAGAGCTTAAACGAAATAAATCTTTTATTACATTTTCAAGTTTTATTTGATTGAACCTCTAGACTATGACAACGCTGCCCTCAACGTCGAGTTCGAGGCTGTTTTTATAACAAATTAGCACTGCAGTATATGTGAACTGATATGAAACGGAATATGACGCAACGACCGAAGAAGATGTATAGTAAATAAATTTCAAATGTTTAAAGAGATAAAAAAGCTTTCGTGGTTATTTACATTAGAAGATAGTTTGAACCTTAAAACATCACAGCTGTCAAATTAGTTTTTTATTATTATTTTAACAGTTTAAAAACCATTCATGGTAAAGTAATATATTTGTCTATGCGTTAGGTAATACCTTCAAGTTACAAATGGCCAAATTAATACCCTCTGATAGCTATCATTGTAAGATGTTATTATGGTATAGATATAGGTTTCAAGTAATAGTACTCGTAATTGGAATTAACATGATAATATATATTTGTTAAATTAAGGCAAGGAATATTGAATGTAAACAATATTTTTATATTATTTTTCCTTTATAAATACTTATATACGTACTTTACAGATTCTTATCTGTTCTATCAATTAATAAAAAAACAGTCGTTCACTGATATATTATTTTAACCCAGTCATGTTTATATCCTAATAACAATTGAAAGTACTTTGTTATTCTCTAAAATCAGCGTCGCACCATAGAGGTTCTATCCAAATTAAACCTTATTTCAAAAGGCAATAATATGCTATGATCTTTCACTTTGAAAAATGTTTGATAAAAGTCTAGACCGAATAATAAAAAGGTTTGTTACCATGTGACGATGTCGATTAGATACGCATACCAATAAATCGAAAAGTACTTTATATTTGACTTGAATATTCTAGAACTTAATGAAATGATTAATTGAAATAACACAATTTTTTTGATCAACCGAGTGATTGGAACAACAATTTTCGATGGTATATTTGTACAATTCGACGATTATGATAATTTTTGTGATAGGCGATCGGCGTTCGTTGGTATGATTACATTTTGTTGTAAGTTTAGTTTTAATTTCTGCCGTAATTTGAATAATAAAGTATTTTTTTGTCTTAAAGATAACGTTAGATAACCCGATTACTAGATTTTAAATTGAAAGAAGCAAGTTTCTTTAATTGAAATTAGATGACCCTTTGTAGGTCGTACCACATCTCACCGTTTAAACCTTCCCTGGACTAAGCGAGACGAGCGCGCCGCAATTGATTTTTATTTAAATAGTGAGGAATATTTAGAAAATCAGTCAAATGTTTTACGAAATCGCGCACCGATGATTCAGTTCAGAAACTTTCACTAACACCACTAGTTTTCCGCCAGTTTACGAAGAGAACCATTTAATGGGATAATAAAGCCTATTTGTTAATTCTTGTTTACAATTTACCGTAACCCAAATTTCATCTAAATCCTTTCAGCAGTTATCGCGAAAAAGTGTTACAAACATACATTCATCCAGCCCCAGAAATTTTCGAATTTATAATATTAGTTTTCCTAGAGGTATTCAATTTTTTCTCAAATATCTAACCTCACATAATTACTTCGTTGTTCTTAATTCGTTTATTTGTTAAACGTCGATTTTTGGGTCACCAAATTGTATGTAACTTGTACCAAATTTCAACTAATACTTCGTATCAAAATATAAATACTTTACAAATGGATCCATCCGATTCTAGTTTGAATACATAAGGGTTCTAATATGTGTAAATGATAAGGGTACCTTTTGAGGTCAGTCCCTGAATGAAATAAACTTTTTATTTGTTTTTTATTTAAAAAATAACATCAGCTAGTTTTTATGTAAAATCGTAATCTCCTCAATGAACGCTTTGATTTGACATATTCTCATTTAATATTACTAGTCAACCATCTTTGATGTCCACCATATTTGGAATTAGAATTAAGTAATTTTTCATGTGATACTTATAACATGACATAAAAATTAATAGGTTGTCATTTACGGCGCCTATTAATTTTTATGTCATGTTATGAGTATATAATTGATAAGTATATAATTTAATTAATGGGTTGTCATTCAGTATAAATTTGTGATTTGATTGTATTTTGACTTTTAATTTTTTTTGACGGGATCCTCCACTGAACGCATTGAGATAAAGTGATGCAACTTAGCTGCTGCAATAATTGACCATGCATTATCATCTAAATTAAGCCTATTAAATTTTAGTTAAATGTGTAAAATTTTAGTTAAATCGTTGAAGACAACTGTTGAAAATTCATTCACAAAACACATACATTAATTGCAAGTTAAATAGAAACTTTTTTTAATAAAATGGTTAAAAAGTGTTGAAGATTAAGTTATAAATTCATAGTAGAAGTTTTTTATAATAAATAATTAACTAAATTGCAACTAAATAAGTAGATGATTATCGCTACTATTGGGTTGACCTCAAGGAGTCCGTGGACCATAGATTGAGAAGTTCTGGTTCCATAAAGATAAGATTATATAGATTAAGATTCCATAAAGATGATACATTCCCTTAATAAATATACTCAGCAGACTACAGTTTTTAAATGATGCAAATATACTGACATTGGATCTTAACAAGCTGGAGTCTATTCAAATAAGTACGCAGGGCACGCGAAAATTAAATCAGGGCCGCCATGTCGGTGGAAATGGCGGTCGGAAGTAAACACATTAGTGCCACCTACCGAGAACAAGTAACAGGACGTAAACAAGAGGCCGTGATCGATAGTGAACTTTTAAGTTATATGTCCGGTGAGTTACGTCCATGGTTACAGTAAACAATGTCAGTGAAAAGTTTTGATAGATGAGCTTTAGTTTGTAGATATCATGTTATAGCTGTTTTCCTGAGTCACCCACGTATATGTTTCCATAATTGAAATAATTTTAAAATCGGTCTTTTAGTTTTAATTTACGGCGCACGACTGTCTATTGTTTATCGACTTACAAATCAAAAAGAACTCTACATGTCCAGCAGTGCCATTATGTTATATTGTTTTGAATAAACACACGCACAGACGATAAACAGAAAATCGAGTGATCCTGTTTAAGATAAACCCTAAAAATTTACGGTTATGCTAAATGTTTTTGTAGCCAAGTGGTTTGCAAGCCGGTATCAAAGTTTCCCAATTCCCAATCAGGTCAACATAGAAAATGAACTCTTCTATATTGTCTCTGGTATGGGTGTCACGGTACCTTTGTTGTCTCAGATATTCCATACAAGGCATTATATAGAATGTGCATTTGATTTGCACTCCATGATTTTGTCTGCTATCAGTACTGTCATTGGGTTCATCACCGCTGAAAGTCACCTGACGCTAATCACCGCTCTAGACTTGTTATTATTAGATGTCTGTGGATGTTGCCAACAAACGATTATTGAACTGTGCTAGGGTTGTGTCTAATTATTTAGAAACTTTTTATAACTGTTTATTTTAAACAGAATGTTTAACTTCATCACCTAAAACTGAGCACAACCTTAGTGCATTTTAAAGTCAGGTTATTTTTTGTTACTGTAAATTAATATATGTTCCCAATGTAACTAAAACACTACAATAATATAAAAAAATGAACAAGAATATTCAATTTAGTCCTTCAAATGGCTCACATAAAATAAAACTTAGATACGTGGGTTTGTGTATTATTCAGATAATTTCCCAACTAAAGCATAATATTTTTTTTATATACTTTTAAATAAACAAAATAAAATACAGTATGATATTTGCCAATAGTGTAGTTTCTGAATTTATTTAAACAAATAATTACCTGGTTTGATTTCACTGAAACTTACGAGATTAGGTCAAATTATAAAGCACTGACTCGGTAATTACGATAAATCCAACGTTCACAAAATCTCAATTTCATATAAAAACTAATCAATTTATAACTAACAATGTTTTTAGAAGTTAAATATCCATGGAAGGTATTAGCGAAATGTCTCGGCTGGCAATCCGCCAACACTGTCGGTTTGTTTGCTAACCGTATAACGGTCTGGGATAACTACGGCATGTCACGGCGTCAAACTACTGGCTACTTGTTGGCTTTTATAATAATTAAAAGCTGTCATTTTTCTATTATGAAAATTCTACTGAGGGTTTAGATAATAGTTAGCTAAACAGCACTTAATATTCGTATTTGAAGAGTTTTTACGCGTGTGTTAGCAACTGTAATCAAAAACGTTATTGATAAACGTTAATACTCATCAGCCGTACGATGCCTACTACTGACCACATACTTTCCATATAAGATCTCGTAAATTGCAGGTAAAACTTTATTTTGTGATGAAACTGTCGACTCTGTGTCTATCCCGTTTGACGTAACGATTACGTTTTAATTTTTCGCGTTGCATTATATTATATTGTATGGTATTAACGCGATAGACTGATAGTTAGGTTTTTCACTAACCTATATTTCCGGACGTTTCGACCGGGTTACACCGGATGGGTCACGGGCTAAATATCAATCTATCGCGTTAATACCCGTTTCATACAATCTAATGTAATGATTAGGTGCAATCAATGCCGTAAGTACCCAAGATAGAAATATTTTAATGAAAATATTTGAAATGAACGATAATATCGAGTGTTTAATTCATATATTTTCTGTAACTGGATGGAATATTTCACTTTGAATTAAAAGCGTTAATAATTAAAAAAAATCGAACCATTAGTTGCATTTCAATCTGTAAGAACTTTTATCAACTCTTGGTGCATTTTTCAACTTAAGTTTAACATTACTGAAAAATTTTAAGTTTTTTAAAGAGCTAGTAACTTTAAAATATCTGATCGGTGAAAATTGTAATAATATACCTACCTATTACAAAAATTTTGGTAGCATTGTTTATTATTTAGAATTAAACAGTGTACCTTTGTCATTTAATTGATAAAAAATGGTTGTTAAAGGTGTTGCTTCTGAAGAATTACTGAAACTTTCAGATATTACAATAAAATAAACTCACCTTTTTTAAAACTGATGAAAATTCTAAATCAGTTTCAGCATTAGAGGTTTTCTGATCAGCAATCAGTTTATGTGACTAAATAAATACCTTTCAAAAGCACTAGAAATAACTGTTTAGTTAATACCGATGCCGGAACTGCATTATGAATACGAAAACGGAACCGATACCGGAAACCGGATGTACGGAGCTTTTATACGATTACGTGCTACCACGTAGCCGGCGTGACGGCAACTGCGCGGCTGGGCCGACTGCACGGATTTGCTCCTTTGCCATTGAAACGCGAGACAAAATGTCAACGCAATAGAATTGAGATTCCCGCCTCTTTCCTTTCAGTGCAAGAATGTCATATCACATAGGTACTACAGTATGTAGCTAGTAAAATCCTTTACGATTTTCTCTCGCGAAAATAGACGCGATAGAGAAAATTGTTAGTAATCCCGTGGGATATTTCCCTACGGTTTGATGAAATTATATTCGTACGTATAGTAAAATTTATTTTGGATATTAAACTAGCCATTTATCCTAACATATAAAAATAAACTTCTTTTTTATTAAGTTGGTTTTACCATAACCAGTTAAATACAATAACATTAATGATATATTATATTATACATAATAAAACACGGGTTCACACGGTGATGCTAATACTGTCTTGAAAAACCAATATAGAAAATGGATTTTTTATATCGTGTAGTGTCTGGGTGCTGTAACTTCGTTGTTTCGGATTTCTACAACAAATTGCTAAAATGCTACGTCATGTGGAATCTAAGCTATGTATGCTATTATGTTGTCTTATATTTATGCACTTATATTAAGGTAAAACTCTTGAACGATTCGATCTTATTTAAATAAACACTTTTTTATGATAATTCTACTTTGTACATGTGTATCGAAAACTATTATTAGACGGAATCCGATCCATCTGTCAACATGTCCTGAACAATTAATACCATTAATAGACGTTAATGGATCCTCCATAATAGCACAAAGACGTTCCGCGATACTTCCAAAAACACTCGAATTTCTATTCCATTAACAAGGTTATTTCATCAACGTTCTATTGTAGAACAAAGCTCTTTGTTATTTTATTTATTATACTTGTATAAAGTTCCCCCTCAATTAATTTAAGGGTGATTTCAGAGAAAAGTTTCTTGGCGTCAGATTGGTGGCATATTTTTTCTCACCACAATAATAAATCATACAATAAAATATGTAATCAACGATAGAATCGTTAATTACGTTATTAATTTTAGATTTATATATCTTAAGAATCATCATAACTATGATTTTTATTTCATTGACAGAGAATGGGTAATAATAATAAAAAAGCTCCAATATAAGCTACATTTTAATTTTTATAAGTCAGCATGAGTTTTGAGATCACGTACACTGAGACGTGGTTGCTAACTGGGATCAATCAGAAGCCGAGAAGACTATTCTCTCATATCTCTCCGATATCGAACCAAATATGTGGAGATTTGCTGATGAACCAAGACGACCTACATAGACCGAAAAATGGCGAGACTGAACTGCAACTGGGCAGGATATATAATTCATTGGACAATAAAGTTCTCGAAGAAGAGCATCGGAACGCCTCCCACAACATGGACCGATGATCTACAGCGACCTCCTAAATCTCTCGCTATAATTCCAGCCATAGCTTTAGTTTTTTTTTTATTGATTTTATGTCATTGAATCTGTTGATATATTTAAAAATTAAATGTTTTTTTTTTATTATTGAAATATTTTATCAAACATTTTGGTTTATTTAATAGCTCTTTAATAATTCAATAAACTAAAACAACCAAAACCATTGATTAAATATGTAAATAAAAAAACAAGAACATTGTATAAAAATATTAACATTGACAAAATCAATGAATATTATAAAAGAAAACGTTCTTATAGCTATGGCTAAATTTATAGCGATAGAGTTAGGCGGTCGCTCCCATGGTCAGCATGCTTACTCTCGAACGTGATTGCGATCGATCGACATTGCAATTGTGCCGTTTTGTACACTTGATTGGGTACACTAACATACTGTCGCGCCGTTTCATACTCATGATTGGGTACATTAGCAGACTCTGGCGCTACTCCACCCAATAAATAGTACGAAAGGGCACAATTGCAATGAGGACCGCGCGAAACCAATCGTATCTTGAAGATCTTTGGGGGAGGTCTATATGCAGCAGTGGATGGCGTTATGAAGTTACCACCAAAGCAATAATATAAGAACGTATATAAAAAAAAAATATATTTAATTAACAATTTTAAAGCAGTAAAGATACGGAGTTACTTCAAATACGACATCTTTCCTTTGTCCAATATTTATGATTAATTCTTATTATCCTTCATTTCTATAGTTAATTACATAAACTATAATTAAATTTATTTAGATCTCTGATTGAACCCCCGATCAACCTTCACCGCAATAACTGATTTAATAAAATTAAATATTGAAGTGATTACAAAGAAATATCTTGTTTGAGTGAAAAAAAAAATATCGGCATTTTGATTTAGACGTATTGATAACGTAAATATCATATTTCAAAAGAACTACCTAAAATTATCTCGACAATTTTGTTATTATTTATTTGTATATAAATTATCTTCCTTTGCTTACAAAGTTACACTAATTTGAAATAATGAGTTATCGTACTCCTACACAAATATATTTCTCCTCATTTTCAGTAGGACTTCTATCGATTTCTAGGTTTTTCCATATAAATATTTCTCCAGTTAAGAATAGTAAATAAGCTTGTTAGTACAAAATCATAATATAATAATTTTCGGTGGAATGAATAGCAAAATTACCTTAATTTCAAAAATGACAGAATTGGCTAAAGCCATAAAAACATTAGATTTCAAACCTTTTTCTTATATTGTAAGTTCATTTACTACATCAAATAAAAGTCTATTGTTTGATAATGGAAGAGGAGATGAAGAAAAGAGTTTTCATCCCGCGAAAATTATAAAAGTTGATTATCGAAATAGTTTAGCATGACAAAATCGACAAAAGCTTCGTCTACTACAAATGTCAATTTTTTTGATCGAGAGTTGTTATACTCGTGAAAAGTGATATTTGGGTGTAGGCAAAACGTTCTCGAGTTTGTCGTACTATGGGTGTAAATATTCAAGGGTGCATGTTCTTCACCCTTTAATCTTGAGAGATGACAGGTTGTCAATATGTATCTAAGAATTACAATTTTGACGTTTGTGGGGTTAATGGTATCGTAACCAAAGCACTTACAAACGTGGCTTAATATATAATAGCTTTGTATTATATCTACAAGTAATAGTATGTTCTATCCTTAAAAGATTATTTTATCATATGAACGACTAGAAAATCGTTTTATTTGGATATTTGTTGAAAAATTACTCTTTTTTTTATCATATAAAAAGAATATCCGTGATTTTATATTTTAATTTATATAATTTTAAATGTGATTTTTATTATATTATTGCTTTATTTCGTTGTTAGGCATGTCAGTAATCAGTAGTCACTAAATAAATAGCCATATTTTTTGTTAGTTTTATTATTACCACTTTTAACTTCTCTAACAAAATATTTAGTTGTTTTGTAATGATCATTGTTTTGAAATATTTAATGTTAATACTATATAAATAAATTAAATTAAAATGGCAATTATTCAGTTACAGTTTGACAAAGCACAATGAATCTGTCCTACTAATACCTATACGAAACTGTCAAATGTGTTTATTAATTTTAAATCTCAAAATGACGATAATTAAATTCAAAATTGTCTATTAAAATAATATCATACGGTTATTTCATATACGTTGTAAATGTTATTTGTTGATTTTTTTACATTCTTAAACAAATATTATCAGCCGTGTTATGTTATAAAAAAATATGAAAATAAATTGAATCTCATTTTGTAAAATTTCAATTAATATATTAATATAGAAAGCATTGTCGTTAGAAAATATTTTGTAAGTATTTAAGGTAAGCTTTCAATGTAAACTATTTAATCGATTACTGTTTTATCGGCTAATCAAAATACAATTTTTTATTCAATAACGAGTGTTTATAAAGAACTAAATGATCTACTAGAAGACTAGTTCTTCTGCATCCTTCTGTAGCTTATATGAGACATAACTAAAATGCTAATGATAGAAGCAGCATCCAAAATACCGAAATAAGAATGAATGAAAAACAAACATACCTTAATCAACTTCCATCCCCAGGAATATCTGGAGCCCGCTGGTGACGTAACAATTAATTATCAATAGATAAAGGATTTAAAAAGAGGTCCTTTATTAAAAAATATCTAAAAGATGTGTTGTGCTATGTTAGGTGCGCAGCACTGAGCCCTGGAGGGGTGGGGCTACCTCTCACTCTATATTGATCGGGATGTTGCGCAGAATCCCGTTTATCCCGCAGGATCCGCCCTTGATCTTGGATACAGCAGCCGTGATGTGGACAGCATCCATTGACGATACCCTAACACAAATTGATATTAAACAAAAAAAGGAAAGTATTCATTACTATTCGTAAGAAGATTTGTCTTATCATTGGGAATAAATAAAAATAAAACTAGAATTATAAAATCCCTACGAAATTATATATAAAGGAATAGTCAATATATAACTATCTGCTCTTATGTAAAAAAATATATATTGACGTCCTCCGTAGCCTCGATCGAGGTTCGAGTTCGATCTCCAATCGGGTCAATGTAGAAAATTAACTTTTCTATATTGTCTCGGGTGTGAGTGTTGTGTTACCTTCACTGTCTCAGATACAGATACCATAACACGCGGGCTTTAGCTATTCATCTTGGAATCTGAGCAATGTATGTGATGTTGTCTAATATTTATTTATTTATTATACTTACCCATCAAAGATAACCTTTTCTTTGTCTATGATATATTAAAAATTTGCAAGAGTGCTTATATTTTTTTTTTTATTTGTTTTCGTTCAAATTTTGAGTTATTCGTCCGGCTATATGTCTGAAACCTTAAGCCCTAAACATTAATGACATTGAACTTACTGTATTAAATAACAATGAGATCAAAGACTACTTTTTCAGTTTGTTTAATAAAGTTCTTGGAACAGCATATGAGCTTATATCATTTATGAGTATTCGAGGGAGCAATGTAAGAGGAACCATTAGATCCAGCCGTTTCTAGGGAAGACACTGCCTTCCCTCTTCCTAGCAACTCACCTGGAGATTTTATTGACAAACAATCACCAAATTATTTATAACGACATATTGAATGTACGA